GTTGTAGAAGTAGGTGGATATGAGATCATGACTTGTATGGAAAATGGTTGTTGGAACTATATAGAAATAGTGGGGCAACTACGATTTGGAGAAGGAGATGCAGCAGCAATACAATATATTTTTCCAAATACGAAGTATAGATGGTGTTTATAGAATATTTTCAAGAAGCTGCCAGAGAAGTTTGGACTTGTCGATAAGGGTTCGATATTTGGGGATATACACGAATTGGTGTATAATTCATAATCCAGTCAAGAATTTGAAGACAGTTGGACAACGATGATTGATACTCATGGCTTACATGAAAATGATTGGTTGTCGAGATTATACGAGAACACAGGGCGATGGGTTCCTTGCTTTTTTAAAACAACTTTCTAAGTAGGGATGTCAATAACATAGAGTAGTGAGAGTATGAATGTGTTCTTCGATGGGTGTGTGCATTCGAAGACTTTGTTGAAGCAGTTTGTCGAACAATTAGAAACGTGCCCTAAGAAATAAGGTTGAGAAGGAGTTCCAGCTAATTTCGAGTCATTTTTCCAAATGTTTCCGCATGCAGCACAATTTGAAATGGAGTAACATTATCGCCCAATGTATACCATTACTAAATTTAGGGAAGTTCTGGAAGAGTTTACGGGAATGATTTTTTGCGACGTCATATCCACATCTGAATAAACTATTGATTCGGTGTACAATGTATAAGGGACTTCGTAGGAGAAAAAATTCCTCGTCTCATTCGTAAGAGATAAATGTTAAATTGTTTACAGCTGCCAATTGTTTGAATTTTGGAGAATACTTTACATGCATGCAATCGCAGTGCTAATTTGGAATGACGTAACACATATTCCGGATAGGAACATACTACGCAGATGGATGAGATATGTTAGTAGAGCACACACAAGGGTTGTAGTTAACTACAATGGATTAGTTAGCACTCTTGCACGATTGAGATACGAAGAGATGTCAAAGGATTTTGCACAAGTGGTAGACCTTACTATAGATGATGAAATACGGTCGCGTGGGATAATGGATTGGATAAAATGTCAATGAAAGAGTTCGTAACCAAAAAATAAAGTTTGGAAGTATTTTCATTTCACATCATATTACGTATTGATTTATCAAAAGTTGCAAGCGGAAGCACACTGGATTTGAAATTGACATGAGGAGATGGCATCGAAGAAAGCAAAGGTATATTCTTTTGTTTACTTCAGATTTGCAATTGTTTCGAATTACAAATTATCGATTAACACTGATGCACATGTAATCTCGTGCGACATCAAACACAAGTAAAATACCAAGAAATGGCAATAATAATATGGTTGACGGCCAAATGAACTTTTAGCCACCTCAACAATATTTCATCTCGACCCCAATGTCATATTTACACAATTCCATGCCGCCACAATCCTCACTTTCACAACAATCAATGCCTACGCCATTTTCCCTTTCATAACATGTACCCCTTGCAAACTCTATCCATTTGCCAGGGGAAAATGTTATGTACAGTTCAAAAGGTATAAGCATGTGCTGGTATATTAATTTAAATGTCTTTTTTTTTTCATGAATTCATCATTTACTGTTTCATATGGTATTTATTGTAGGTCAAGAATTGCCGTACTACTATCAAAACTTATTTGATGAAGGTAGCAGAGACGTGTGATGTTAGGATTGTGGCTGTTATTTTCCTTTTTTTAGTTTGTTTTTGCATTGTGTTTGTTCAACTGTTTTCATTTTTGAACATCAATTTTGCACAGTCTGACTATGTCCATTTAAGCAAAAAACTAAGAGATCACACATTGTTACATTGAATTGTTTTTGCATTGTGTTATTTTCCTTTTTTCAGTGAATCAAAATGTGATCATCAAGGTTCCATTATAACCCTAGATGATTTCAAGGGTTGTTAGACCAATGGTTATTTCTTAATGGTGTTGTAAAGATGGGAGCATTTTAGGCACCATTCACTATCCTCTGTTAATTCAAAAGTTGTAAATATCATTTCTTCTCAAATTTGATAAGCAGGTCATGACATTACAATAAGGTTTTGCTCCATATTAGTCATACACCTATAAACATTTCTCAAATGCTTCGATCACTATCTTGTAATCAAGTTTGCTGCTTCCTTTTGTGTACACCGAAATTTGGAGCTCTTCTTTGTCACTTATCCGAACATTAGATTAGAACATACATGATATTTCTTCATTAGTGTCATTCATCAAGGTGTTAAGGATGGTAGTGTTGTCGCGACTAGAATCACCTCTTATTTCTTCTTCGACAACATACTCCCAAAATCCACAATTTCGACTACAGCAAATGAATAATTTTCCTTTATTATCATTATCCTTCTCCACAACAAAGCATTTCTCAAATACACGCTTATATCAAGTGTAGGGTGTTTTCTTTTGCAATTGGAAAAGAAATGGTTTTTAGCTGTACAACCATGTCAAATTCCAGAGTTCATTCCAGTCATTCTACGATGTGAATAAAACACCAACAACAAATGTGTAGTCAGTTATTTACTAATTCATTACAATATACAAATTAGAATTAATGCCAATACTCAAGTCGGATAAGCTAAGCAAAAGTGCAACGATGAAACCTTTGGAAGACCCCATATCAACTCCCTCGATGGAAGTCAGAACTAATGAAGTATAAAAATTTCTACCTGAGGACAGGCTGACGGGTTCAATAGGTGCAACTTGCTTGCGATGTTCAGTTTTTTTATGACGATCAGTTATTGTGGGTCGTACGAAGGTCAAACCTTTGGCGAAAGTGCGGCGCGACAACTGGAGATGGTTGGTCGTGCGATAGCGATACCTTCAGTGAAAGTACGTCGTGGCAAAACCGAAGATGAAGGGTTTGATATTGGGTCTTTTAGCTGTTTTCGGAGAGAGAAGGTTGTGGAAGAGTGATGTCTACTGCTTGTCTTTTAAATTCTTTGAAATGCTCCCCTTCCCTTTTTTTAATTTGCAAATGTCACATCAGTCTGTATTTAAGCCTGTTCGAGTAGTGAAATTGGGTTATTTATATCTAACATGTCCGAATTAGAATTTTTCAAGTTTTACCATGTTTGTCTGAAATGAAAATATACATTACCAATTGCACAACTCTTATGTGTCATTTGATTTAATTTGCTGATAGATATAATCTCAATGCATGCTTCACCAATCCGAAATTCACACACAACCAGGAAATCTTATGCAGAGTTCTACATGAAATATTCGACTTTTTTTAAAGAATTGGCTAATGTTATTGAGTTAATTAATCAACGTGATGAGTGCTTTGTCTTGAATTTCCGTTACATGCTGAATTTGCTAGTTAATTTTGGAAAATAGTATTTACGATTTTTCTTATGTACGATATGTAGTATTCTTGATTTATATTCAACTATTATACTAAATAGAAATGATCTCATACTCATAATGGGTAAGATAAAATATGCACAACGCTGATGTGATAGTGGTTAAGCTTACAATTTTTTACAATTGTACACATCGCTGATGCGACAGTGGTTAAGCCTACATTTTTTTACAATTAAACTTTGAATTGCCAAAAATTTTAAGTCCACATCTGGGATGGGCAAGATAACTCCTACCCACCATGGGTAGAAGATCATTTTTGATATACTGTATTCTTATTTTTAAGTAGTGCAAATATGATTCTTTTTTCCCCAATCAATTTAGTTCAATATCTACATAATTAGAGCGTGTTTAACTAATCTAAAAAAGTTGACTTATAAGCACTAGTGATGGCAAAAAAAACTCGTCCCACCGAAACAGGTTGGCAGGCAATCAAAAAAAAAAACTAATTAGCTACAAATTACAAAAAAAGCAACGGCAGGCAATCTTAAAGTCTAAACCTCATATCTTCATACTATCTCCATCTCATCTCTAGCTCTACTGATAAATGAAGTTGTGAAG